ATTTTTTTTTTATTTTAGTAACATAAAAACAAGCAAAAAGCCAACATCACGCGGTGTTCCCAGGCGGTCACCCATCCAAGTACTGACCGCGTCCGACGTTGCTTAACTTCGGTGATCGGACGAGAACCAATACAATTAGCGTAAATTTATTAATTGATTTTCATGAGATTTCATTACCATTGAATTTACTAATGGAGAAAATAAATATTCCTAGATATAATTCTGTATTATTTTATTTACTTAATAATCAAATTTGATTCAAAACTGTAATTGAATAACATGATAAGATAGACTTGTATACCTATAATATTTGACAATAACAAGGACATACGATCGCCGCGTGTCTGCGTTTCAATGTAGACGTAAAACTCGTCCCATTCAGTTGTACTCACTGCGCGCACAAACGTGTTTTTTTTACTTTATTTACTAACAGTGTTAGTTGCCAACATATCATTTGTAACAAGTAAGTTTTTTTAAATACAAAAGTCGTAATAGTGTACCATCAAAGTCGTCATATTGGAATAGAAATCGTAGCTGTTTCATACAATTTTGTAGTGTCAAGGAGTAATTGTAATTAACTCTGACTTAGGTACACTTTTAACATGTAATGTTTTTTTAGGATGTTAATGTTATTACTGATATGGACGACGGTAGTTCTGTCGATATGTTGGTTGTATTTGCGAGAGTTGTACTCCAAATTCAACAAACGGGGTGTCAACAACCTGCAGCCAACGCCGGTCCTCGGTAACATGGGATCCGTAGCTTTTAGAAAACATCATTTCGTTGAAGTTACAACAAAACTTTATAATGCATATCCTGATGATAGGTAAGTTGATAGAACGGAGACTTTTTTATATTTGACCTCCGGTACACATCTTACTAATATTATAAATGTATGTTTGTTAGTATCTGTAACCGAAATTGCTGAAAGGATCTCGATGTTTGGCATAAATGTAGAATGTCGCCTTTGTATTTTCTTTGCGAACGACGTCGCGGGCGAAACTAATACTTTATATTAGAGATGCATTACTAATGTTAATTTTTTAAGGTTTTTGGGATGGTACGAATTTGCAAACCCAATGATCATGTTAAAGGACATTGAACTTATAAAAACAATAGGAGTCAAAGATTTTGAAAACTTTTTGGATCATCGACCCGTTGTTGATGGAAAAATTGATCCGTTCTTCGGCAGAAGTCTAATTTCACTGAAAGGTACTCTATTTTAACGGATTTTATTTTGAATTTTGCGTTAAATTTCTTTAAGACCTAATACATGTTTTTGGTCTTGATTTCTTCATGTTGGGTCAGGCGAGGAATGGAAGGACATGCGGTCAACCCTAAGCCCCGCTTTCACCAGTTCTAAGATGCGCCTTATGGTGCCCTTCATGGTCGAAGTCGGCGACATTATGATCAAGTCGCTCAAGGAGAGAATACAGAGTTCAGAAGGTATCCTGATGCTTGTTATTAAAAGTTAATGAAGTAACGGAATTTAAAAAACACTGGGAAATAAGACAAAAAGCTACACTGCCCGATAGATTTTTTTAGAACTGAATAAGCCGTAACTAGAATCTAATAAACAACCTTATTTTTAATTAATGTGACGTATGATAAGGCTATGTGATTTGTCAATTGTTTTTCAATATTTCCTGTAAACCAACAAGGAGGGAATCTTTCCATGCTGATGAATTAATTTTAACAGGAGGTTACATAGATGTCGAATGTAAGGACTTGACGAATCGGTACGCGAATGACGTCATCGCCTCCTGTGCATTCGGTCTCAAGGTGGACTCGCACACCGACAGAGATAACATCTTCTACAAGATGGGCAACATCGCCGCCACCTTCCGCTTCGTACAGCTTCTTAAGATAATTGTCACCGCGTCTTGGCCAATGATATCAAAGGTAAGAAGTAGCTTTGATTTTAATCATGTAGGTTTAATCTTTATTCAAATATGTGTAATTTTTATGCTTTATAACCTTTCGAAGTTCACAAATTGATCCAAACTTAACAATCAATCAATCAATCTTAAACAATCTACTGCAATACAATGGCTAATCGTACGATTGACTAAACGACAGTCTTATTAATGTTTCGAATTAAACGTTTCAGTTATTACGGATATCAGTCTTTGATCAAAACGTGAAAGATTTTTTCCACGGTCTTATTATTAGAACGATGCAAGAACGTGAAACTAAAAACATAATCAGACCTGACATGATTAATTTGCTAATGGAGGTAAAGAAAGGTTAGAATACTTAATATCTGTAGATTAATTATTTATTTGAATTTTGAAAATCATCATCTTGTGTTTGTCACCAGGTCAATTGACAAATGATGGTTCAGTCGACGATGACGCAGGCTTCGCGACTGTCGAGGAATCATCTGTAGGCAAAAAGAATGTTACTCGCGGTACGTAATAGGATTTATAATAACCAGAGGTATCTTTAAATATGGATGTTATGAAACTCGCATAATAAATATGAGTTTTTTTAGCTTGGTCAGAAAGTGATCTAATAGCGCAAGCGGTGCTGTTCTTCATCGCGGGTTTCGAGACGATCTCCTCAGTGATGACATTCGCTCTGTACGAGCTGGCTGTGAACCCTGACATGCAAGAGCGGCTGCTGCAGGAAATTAGAGAAAATGAACAGAAGAACGGAGGGAAATTCGATTACACTTCAATACAGAATATGAAGTATTTGGACATGATTGTATCAGGTAAACATGATTATTGCTATCTTGAAAGTTGATCTTGTTGAATGTTTCCTGTTTTAAAGTCAATTTATGTTTTTAGAAGTGCTTAGAAAATGGCCGCCAGCCATTTCTCTGGACCGATTATGCATGAATGACTACAATCTCGGTAAACCAAATAAAACAGCTGCCCAAGATTACATTGTAAGGAATTTCTAAATTTTGTAGATAGACGAAAGTAAATTGGCTTTACTTCAATTTCAAAAATAATTTCAAGTTCTCAATTAACTTCGATTAAAACTAGCCATTTTCTGAGTAACATAAAGAATACGAATTTTTCTCAGGAATATACATTTTGAATAAATTTGTTGTAGATACGTAAAGGAGAAATAGTAACAATCCCAGTATGGTCGATTCACTACGACCCTAAATTCTATTCGAACCCAGAAAAGTTCGATCCTGAGCGATTTTCGGACGAAAATAAACATTTAATTAAACCATTCACATACATACCTTTCGGTCTGGGGCCAAGAAATTGTATAGGTGAGTACGAAACAAGTTTTGTCATGACACTGATGTTGTGGTATTGAATAAGTAATTCAATAGAGCAACCTTCAGTGGCAGTACATTAATATTTGAAAAGTGGTTACGTCTCCAATTACAACAATCATAGTTGTAAACTTGTCCAGGTTCTAGGTTCGCGCTCTGTGAGGTGAAGGTGCTACTCTACCAGCTTCTACTTCACGTGGAGCTGGCCCCGTGCGAGAAGACCTGCGTGCCGGCGCGGCTCGCCACAGACACATTCAATATACGGCTCCAGGGCGGACACTGGCTTAGGTTCCGGATGCGACAGTGACATAGATATAGTGAATAAATATAAAAATGTAGAATTCCGCTTTAATTCAAAAAGATATTTACATTTTTTACCTTTCTTGTGTAATTCATTTTTTTTACAGAGGGCTGCGACTTAAATTTTAAAACATGCTAAATTTTTTTATGTGTTCGTCCATTGAACGCAATGTATATTGTTAGCAAATAAAACAACTAAAAAACATTATAGCATTTTATTTTTTAAACACAAGAAAATAATTTATAGAATGTTTAGTATGGTTCTTGCTGGTGTCTTCCACTAGTGAAAATGTCTGTAGTTACCAGAGAGTTAATCGATCATATTGTACGTTTCCTTAGAGCGTGCGCACACTTTTGACTAACTATCGCACAACTATGTAGTCTCGCTTTGATTCGTACAAGCTAATATGCCGGTGTGCACACTGCTCGATATTTAGTTGTGAAACTAAACAGTTGAATTGGCTGCGAAACAATCGACAATCGCATAACAGTTGTTCGCTAGTGTCGTCAAAGGTGTGCGACCGCTCTAAATTATGAGAATCACTATGTGAACAATAAAGTGTGTTGAGCTAGTAAATGATCGTCTTCTGTTTTCGGTCATTCTCTGAGTCGGAACCGCAGCCAGTGTCCGCCGCGGAGCCGTACGTTGAATGTGTCGGTGGCGAGCCGCGCCGGCACGCAGGTCTTCTCGCACGGGGCCAGCTGCACTCGCTGCACCACTTGGTATAGCAACACCTTCAATTCGCACAGCGCGAACCGAGAACCTGTAAGAGACATAGCAGCCTGGATTTAATTGCAATGCTATTAAAAATTGGAAGGAATTCAAATCACTAAAAAAACACTTTCAATTCTCGAACGAAATATTCTATTATGTAAGGATATGTATAATGCGAATACTGTACCTATACAGTTCCTGGGCCCGAGACCGAATGGCATGTAAGTGAACGGTTTGATGAGATGTTTGTTTTCCTCCGAGAACCGGTCTGGATCAAACTTTTCGGGGTCCGGGTACAGAGCGGGGTCCCGGTGGATCGCCCACACCGGCACCGCCACTGTCTCCCCTTTGTGGATCTTGAACATTGTATAAAATATATATGTTTTTTTTTTCAAATTATCGATAAGATTATCAAAATTCTCACAATGAAATCCTCGGTAGCTTCTTCGTTAGGTCTTCCTAAGTTGTAGTCCATCAAACACTGCCGGTCCAATCCCACGGCGGGCGGCCACATTCTTAGTACTTCTAAAAGTTCAACATTATATAATATGAGAAATCATTCAAACGTTTTTAAAAATAACATGCAAAATAATTAAATTATACCTGACACAACCATGTCCAAATAATTCATATTCTGTATAGAGTTATAATCAAGTGTTCCGCCGTTCTTCATCTCGTGGGCTTTTATTTCGTTCAATAGACGATCCTGGACATCCGGGTGCGTCGCCAGCTCGTGCAAGGCGAAGATCATCGCAGTAGACACGGTATCGAAGCCCGCGAAGAAGAATATTAGCGCTTGAGCAACTAAATCGTCATCCGTCCAAACTGAAATTGTACAACTAGATATAATGGTGACACTAATCAGACGAAACAGGGAATTTCTTTTTTTAGATGCTGGCTTCTGTGTAGTCTAGAGGGCCATTTGTCTATAATTGGCATACATGTTCTTCCATTAGAAACATGAACACACTATTAAGTTCTACTTACCTCTGCTAACGTTCTTCTTGCCTACTGATGATTCTTCGACAGTTGCAAAACCCACACTTGTGTCGGCACCAGTTTTCTCCTCGTGTGTCAATTTACCTGAAGCACAATTCGCATGTAATGATTTTGACTATATTTTATAGATCGTATAACGTGTTTACCTTTCTTAGCCTCCATAAGCAAATGTATCATGTCAGGTCTTACAATTTGTTTGACTTCACGCTCATTGACAGCACTTAGAACTAGGCCTCTAAAGAATTTCATTGCTGATGCTTTGAAAAGGGTGATCTTAAATATCTACAAAACAAATTGTATAATGTATTTTGTTATGTAAATGTTCCATAGTGGCCCCTCTTGTTGCCTCAATTGCGGTCAAATTGAGCAATTTGTGCCAATCAAGGATAAGCGAATTCAAGTTTAGAGGTCAATGTAAGATTACGTTCGAACTACTGACGAGAAGTGAAGAATGGTTTTTAAGGGAATCTATAGAAAAATAGTTTTTCAAGTAATTTTAACACCTAAATATATGCGTAATTAATGACATAGAAGATGTAAAACGACTGATTTTTAAGAAAAACATTTAGCAAAAAATTATTTGTCCATCAACGAGGTTTTGATATCTTTTCATCTAATTCACAAGCTCGGGACCAACTAAAAAGAAATAAAACCTTTGAAACAGTAGGACAAGATGACATGAACATTAATTTGAGCATCTGCAAAAAATCGAAGTTAGCTGCGATTTTGCCCATCTTGTAGAACTCGTTGTCTTTGTTCGTGTGTGAATCCACCTTTAGGCCGAAGGCGCAGGAGGCGATGACGTCATTTGCATACCGAGTCGTCAGATCTCTGCAGTCTATATCGATAAAGTCATCTGGAACAAAAATTATCATAGTTGAATCCAATGAGCTGAAGGTGACAAATGAACAACTCTATTTCGCTGAAATAGCGAAGAGATAGCTGCCTACAGGCACATGCAAAAAATCGAAAGGTCGTAAATGCGTTTCCTACCGGCAATAGAAGGGGACGAACAGAAAGAACACAATTCTCTTTTAAGGTGTACTTCCCAATTTATGTTTATTCATTTTTTTAACCACTTTTCTTTAAAACTAGTATTTGGTCTCCGTAAACTCGCTAAAACCTACATGATCTGTGATACCTTTTGAACTATCTATTCTCTCCTTCAGCGACTTGATCATGATATCGCCAACTTCGACCATGAAAGGCACCATAAGCCGGATCTTGGAGCTGGTGAAGACGGGGCTCAGGGTTGACCGCATGTCTTTCCATTCCTGACCTGGAAACAAACTTAGGAATTGACTTCAAATTCAACACTTTACTTGGTAGTAAATAATATAGCCAGTTATTACAAGTGTAGCCACGAAAAAATAAATTGCGTCGTCAATACTACATAAAACGGAATTCCCTCAAATTTAACGAAACGTTTGTTGAAACATATCTTACCTTTTAACAAAATAAGGTTTCTTCCAAAGAATGGATCAACTTTTGCGTCAATAAACGATCGATGATCCAAAAAACTTTCGAAGTCCTTTACACCGATCTTTTTTATCAATTCGATGTCTCTTAATATTACAATTGGATTAATACATTCGTACCAACCTAAGAACCTTAAAAAATATCAAACTATTAAATGGTGCGAAGATGTGAATCACTGTTTTGTATTCCATTATTTATATTATATATACTAATATTATAATGTAGAAAAATTTGCATTTTTGGATTTTTGTATGTATTACAATAACTCAAAAACTACTGTATTGATTTAAAAAATTTTTTGAACCCTAAAAAGGTATGTTATCACCGATTAACATAAGCTATATTTTTACTACTTTCTTTATTTCAACACGGATGAAATCGCAAGCAAATCAAGATAAAACTAGAGGAAACATGATTTACAAGAAGTACTTTTATATTTTGATTGACCAGTAGGAGTTTAAATAAAAAACCTTTCTCCAGGAAAAGCTGAATACAGCCTAAACATAGCTTCTGTGAAATGTTCCCGACGTAGCAGTACCCAACCCATGTTGCCCAGGAACGGTAAGGGCGCTAGGTTCTTTACTCCATATTTGCTGAACTTTGAGTACACCTTGCGTAAGTAAAGGGCACAAGCCACCACAAACACGACAAACCATATCGCCAATAGCATTATCTGTAGATAAATGAAAACAAATAGAATACGTATTTTAATCTAATATGACATTCTTTATTATTCTGTTATAATCTTACTAATATTATAAATCCGAAAGTTAAGATAAAGAAACTAAAGAGCTAAACGGATCTTGGTTAAAATGACATAGATGTAGAAGATAGTCTGGAAGATCACATAGGCTTACTCACTTTTGTTTTTGTTTTTAATTCCACGCAGGCGGAGTCGCGCTTGAAAGCTAGTAATTTAAATAATAATCACTTACATCGTCAAAAAGTTAAATAACCTAACTAAGGACGTAAAGATCCTGAACTTGGGGTGCATTCTTTTTAAAATCATTATGTAACGTGTGCAAATGAATTAGTTAATTTATTTCTGACATATGGCGAGATTTTTCTTATTCCTGGTTTAGTTTTATTACTTTCGGAATTAAAAACTCACTAAACAAACAACTTATCACTACTTAGATATAAAAAAACTTACTGGTTGTTATTATTATTCTTGTTTACTGAAATTAACACTTGAAAAACTAGTTGATAGCATGAACGTGTGTTTTTAACAAACATTTGTCAACACTGCGAGTTCGTTATATTTGATGTGACGCAACATGCACACACATACACACACGCCTGCGTGTTTTGCGAATTGACAAGTTCATTGTTATTCACATTATCTGATATTATTAGTTTCTGCCCGTTCTGTGATAAAATTTGTTTACATTATGCTAAAATTGGTTGTTGTTTTTAATTAAAAAAAATCAACTACGTTTAAATATTGCATTACTGCAATGATGTAATTTATTTGTTTAAGAATTCAAGAATGTTAGTTGAAAGAGATTAAAATTTATTTCGCATATCTTTAATTTTTCACTATTAGATTTGTTTATAATATGCTCTCTATCACATGATAAAAAATCCCGCACTCGGTTACTGAAGTGCCATTTCATTTAGCGCCATCTATGAACGAGATATTTTAATATGTTATTTATCACAAGATTAAAAAAGTCCGCGCTCTGTGAAGTCAGTTAATTTATCGTCATCTATGAACCAATTTTTTTTTAAGAAATGTCCCATAATTAAAAAAATCCCACACTCATCTGGTGAATTGTTTTTCATTTAGTGCCATCTATGAACGAGTGGCTTAATTAAAATTATCGGTCTTCTCGTTTCGGTTATTAAAACTTCTTTGTCGTTGTACAGATGGCGACACTTCGAACTTTAAAATTAAAGGATGGTTCTAATTGGTATTCTGTTTATATATTAGTAATAGGATTTTATTTAAAACTGCAGTCCGAAATGATTGAATTTTCACATAGGATTATTACATTACTACTAAAACTTCAAAAAAATATATGCAGTCACTTACTTATATTTCTGGTTTTAACGCCATCTATTTGCAGCATAAAAGTTGAATCAACTATTAAAGTATACTATTTACCGCTAGATGTCAGTTAAAATAATTACCCCGAAAGTGTAGAAAATAAGTTATTACTGTTTAAATTAAATGCCATAAACGACTAAATAATCAATACAAACAAAATTAAATCATTACTTGTCTGATTTAAGTTCGATTATTCATTAATAATTTTTTTTTCATCAGTTAAAAGATGAATATATTTATTTTTGTAATGCTCTTTGCATAAATACGTGAAATAACATTTTAGGCCCCCACTATACTTGACATTTTTCATAACTGCTTTCGCCATTTGTAATCTTACGTGATTAATGGACTATGGATAGAAATATTATTTTTTACTTATTTCTCTTCTTTTCATTCTAACTATTAAATAGGTGCTGGCCTATAAACCAAAAATAAATCTGTTTTTTCTTTATAGGCGATAGGGCATAACCGGAAAGGGTATGGATATAACAGAATCGAGACATTATTTGCCACTTATGCGAAGCTATGTGGATCGCTAGTATGATAATAAATTACTTACAAAACATCTTTTGTCATTTTATTAATTAGCACGTCTTAATGACGGCTTCAACGGGGAAAAGTCAACGGGCTGTAAAACAAGTGAATAAAGAGTTCACTCGATGGAGGGGAATTTTTAATGACCACGTTAATAACCACTTGGCAGAGCAGAGACGAGACGAGAGCGTCGTTAGTGAGAATCTGTAAATAAGTCAATGAAACCATCGTCTATGAAATGTTTGTTCTTACTATTTATCTCATCGATCAATGCTTGATGATGCTTGTTTTATTTACTTGCGTTATAATATTTAAGTATATATATAGTTAAACCTAACTTTTGTTATCGTTATCATTTACTTTGTCTTTTGATTTTATTTGTCTATAGATATCGAATCAAATATATATAAGTGTACATTTTTGGTATGTACTAAAAATGAAACAATGCCGAAACTGAGTATCATATCAAAATAATGTTTATTTAGTCAGTTTATATGCCATCTATCGGTGAGTGGTTCAAACAAAATTGACATTTCAAAATGTTCCAATTTATTTAATCTCTTTAATGATGTATAGATGGCGCTGTCTCGTAATTTTAAATTATATACAATTAGGATTTTTTGTAAGATGGGTGCTGTTTATACTTGAAAATACCGACCAAACACTAATGTCTACAGAGAATATTTACATATTTAAAAGAAAAAATTTACATATTTAAAGAATTTTAATATTCATGTTACGTTTTCCTAAATTGAAATGTCACAGGATAAAGTGTGTTGGTCAGTTAGTGACAATTATCTCGAGCTATCCGAGGCAGAAGTGGCTCAAATGCACCAAAATGCGACGCTTTCTGCCCCGTTGGTGATTGCAACGGACCGGAACCGAACCCGACACCAAAATATATACGTAACTGTACAATTTGTTCAATGCCTTGGCTTCACGGCTACAAAGTAATTATTCTTCGGACTATTTCCTGTTCCACTCGATACGAAGTTCGGTAAATGGAACAAAGAGACAAGAGATTTGTGCCAAGTTAAGGTCTCCTTTTTGTTTTGTTTTAAAATTAAAGGGCTACATAAAGTATTTAATAATTCTGTAAAGTGTTTAGGTTTCTAAGTAACGCATGCAAATTAACAGATGAAGGAGTAATATCTTGTTTGAAACTGACCGCATAACGTGCCGCTTGCAATGACGCGCGTCAATTTGTAATGACGCGTGTCAGCGTGCGGGCGACGGACGCGGCGCGATGATTGATGATTATTCACTGCGAGATATTACAGAACTACTGCAACCTCTCACAAATAAAGCATGCCATACACATTAGGGTAAGTAAGGCAAACTATGTGTGTTTGATAAAAGTGTACATTGATGTACATATAAAACCTACAGGGTTATGAATAACGTGTGTAGACGGCATCACAATACGAGTATAACTAAATAATTTTAAGCAATGTTCTTAGTCCATTTTGTTGTGGATGTTTATGGAATAAAGATCGATTCGAAACTCTACATTTTCTAATTCTTTTTGATCACGTATTTTCTATACTTATATTTTATCGAAGCGATCATTGCCAGGATGTACTATTGTTAGTTGAGAAATAATTTAGGTGTAAAAAATAAATTGAGCTTGCACATAATAAAGTTAAAAAGTGTAAAAGCTCTCTTTCTGAAAATTAATTTCATTTCGGTTTTAATTTCACGTTCCTTTGTTTCTCTTTGATTTCATTTGTTTTTGTGACGTCACCTGATGTAGCCGAATTTACATTTAACACAAAAAAAGTTTTTAGACTCTAAGCGAAATTCAATTAGACTTTCATTCGTTAAATGGATTCGTCGGGATTTGGTTTGTAAAATAATTTTCTATTTGTATTTTCATTGGAATACCTGTGAAACTTATGAAACGGTTACAAACTCGATTCATTCTATTTTAAAGTGAATTCTTGTGTAGAATTTTTAAATCGTTAAATATTTTTTAGGCACAGTATGTAGTGCTCTTCCATGCACCTTTCCAGCCGTCATATCTGAATTCATTCCCTTCTTAAATATATCACAACATTTACAATATCCATCCATACATTATTTGGTCTTCCTTTAGCTAAAGTAACCATTCACATTGAATCTTATTACATTCTTGTTTACATGGTGATCGTCTCCCAATACCACATTTACCTTTTGCTTTTATTATTTCTCTATCACTGGCATTACTTTCAAACTTCCTCTGATAACTTCTGTTCTCTTCCCTTCTCGTAAAGATACTTATTTCGAAGCTACGGGGTTTTATCTCGTTCCTTTCTTCGTAACAACTCTCACAACCTTGCGCTATGCATTACGAACAAATCCTGCGCAGCGCCTGCGGATTAAAGTGCGGGATGAACGTGAAAAATTTGGCGAAGCGAAGCGGAGATTACTGGCGGGATTACACGCCCGTCATCTATCAACTTCATCGGGGAGCGCCGCAGCCCCACAGCCCCGCAGCGCTGCCTGGTGAGCGATGCCGGTTGGCGCAAATGAAAAGCTTATGCAGTTACACGTCACGTCACTTATCCCATTTGTTACGGTGAAAATTAGGACGAGAAGTTTTAGAAACATGCAAACATATTATTATTATTAAGCGGGAAGAGAATTGAAGGCTCTCGCTGTACATGACCATATCGGATATTTTTATTAAGTCTTTGTAGGTAGTGGAATTTTACAATAAATTAATTTATATAAAGCGGACATACTTTCCAAATCTCAACGTAACAGTGAGTGCATTTGTATCGCTGTATCGCTTATAACTTGGGCCACAGATGAAATTTTTCCAGGCGTTGATCGATGAACAGACACGTCCTAAAAATGGGGCTCAAGAAATTCGTGTCGCATAAAAAATGTAAACCGTCTTATGCAGACAAGACGTACGATGCGTCTACATTTCGTATGTTTTAAATTTGTTTGGTCGTCAAGATTTTGCTGATTTTATCAACTGAAAGGTACAAATAGACATGCATATTGCGATGCCTAAGGCCTTTTAACATTCTGCGTCTCTGTATTTTGTATATAGTTATTAAAATAACTCAGAAACTATTTTGCCGGTTTAGAAAAATCTTTCATCATTAAAAAGCTACATTATCAGTGACTAATATCGATTATATCTTTTATTATTTTTTAATTCCACGCGGGGGAAGTCGCCAGCAACAGTTAGTAAAGAATAAGTTAAGAGGCATTTAAATAATTACACCGAGTGGTGATTTAAAAGTATTTTACAATGAGCTATAGTCAAATATTTAAAGAAAACCCCTTCTACAATAAGTAAGAATCAGAAACACGTAACAAAATATAAGATGTCAAGCGTACAGCGTTGAATACGGTGCGTTATAAAAAGGATAGTTGTTGAGTAGGGAGACTTGTTATTTGAAAAAGGATTCTTAACAATAAACAATCCACTTTTCCTGTAACAAGGGGACTACAGTTTGGGTACACCTATTCTCATGTAAGCCTCTTACATAACGTAATCTTGTAAACTAGACATGGCAAAAAAAATAACAGTAAATTCTATTGTTGTGTTATTATATCCATATGGTTATATATTAAATTAGAATCATTTAGAACTGAGTACTGACCGATGTTACGCGGTGTAATCTAACACGTTACAATGCAAGTATTCATACAATTAGTGCCTAGTATTAAAAGGAAACCAGCAA